ATACAAGGAGGAAACAAACCCTGAACGATCTTTTGAATCCAAGGATTGCTAGCGCTCCTGATCCCTTATATAAGAGGTAAAGTGGAGATATGGGGTTTGAAAGCACCTTATGCCTTTTCCCTTTCCATTTTCTTTTCATACCCATGTAAGTGCCAGGTAGACTCTAGCCTTATAGATACCAATAAATTGCCCTGTCCTAAAAAGTTTGAGGACATGAAGGAAAAATACAGTCATTAACCCTCTTTCATAATATTGTTCAGCGCTTTATTTCATGCCCTACTAATCACTGTAAGTTTTCACATGTTGCGCTCATATTATTACAGTGGAAGCTGACTTTGTTACTTTAACATCACTCTCCACTAAGCAATTTGCAGACCAGCCACATTGCCATTCAACTATCCACAATTAATTAAATTCAGATAGATATGCAGCTCAAAGCATTCTATTAAGCCCTATGCCAAGGACATTCCTGAAAGTCCACAGGGCTTTATTTAAGTGGTGTTTGGAACCTCAGGATTTTGGCATGATAATCTGAGACAAAGTCCAGGAAAGAAGTTTTGTATTATGTACAAATCTGTAATTACTCTATTTCTCTTTTCATTTTATGAATAACCTTTTCTTGCACAGCTCAGAAACACACAACCAAGTAACTATTTCTGGACAAGCCCATTTACAAGGTTTAAACTAAGGGGCCTCCTCATATTAGCCTGTATATTTATATATCAGTATCATCTAAAATTTTTAACTCTTGCAAGACCAGAGGGAATGTTTTCACTTGAATAGTTGTAACCAAATGTTTTGTGTTCAGTGGAGTTTTACCAAACTGCCCTTCATAAGCCACTCCTTCGTAAATGCCTTTCTGTCAAACAAAGAAAAACGTTTGCCCAAATGGAAAGAACCTGTATGTACTATTTCATCCACAGTCTTGAATGTCCTTTCACAGTGACAGTACACAGGGATGGACTCAGAGGGGACATGATGGTATAGTCACCCCCTCCTTGGCTGTGCTGCATACGAGCTCCTGAGGTGGGGTCTGGGAGGAATCCCTGATTTTGTGAGACTCCAGAGCTCAGGGGGTTAGCACCACTGCTGCCTTCATCCCCTTCTTTCCCTTGCTGCTGAATTCAGTGGAAGGAGGATGGAGAGGGAAGAAGAACACCAGCAGTGTTCCCCACCTGGGCTCCGGAGTCGTGTGAAAGCAGGGGCTCTGGCCAGACACTGCCGCTACAAGCTGGTGAGCTCAGAGCTCACTGCTCACATGGAGCTCTGGCAGACACCCACTGTGTCTGAGTAGCAAGCTCAGAGTTCACACTGCATGTGTGACACAGTCAAAGTAGAAGGGCTGAACACCCTTGCCCCATTCCTGGATTCACTACTGACTGTACATACAGTGGCCCAAGCAGTATTTAGTGTAGCTACAGTCATTATAATGACAAGGGTGTACCAAACTTCTGCATGCCCAATTTTGTGGGAACATTTATAAGTTTCTGACAGTGATATGTTATAGTATGTTTAACGTGTGTTTGTTCTTGCTGCTGGTGAGCCCTCAGAACTCCAAATGAAGCCAATATTACTGGGAATATACCCTCTTAGCATGGATATAATGTACTTCTGAGACCACCTGCAGGCGCGCAGGTGGTGTTCTCTTCCATCCTTCCAGTGAGTGGACGGGACAGACGGCA